GTATGTATATATATATATATATATATAGTATATATATATATATATATATATATATATATACATATATATGTGTGTGTGTTTTGTAATAGAAGCACTAATTGTAATGCTTTCCTCCCTTCAGAATGCCTTTGAAATGCTACGTAGAGACGCATAGGTCACCATGACATACAGACATAAGGAAAGAATGAATTGAAAAAAAGATAACAAAGGACACCATCCCACAATTGCACGTAAAAAAGTGAAACGAGGGGAAAGACAAATTACTAGAAACCCATTTCAAAAAAAAGGACTCAAATGTGAGCAGCGATCCCCATCGCATAAAGTCCCCCTTCTCCCTCGCCCCATATCCCATAGATAAGAAATGGATCAAAGGGGTGAGCAGAAAACATAATAAACAAGGAACCGAATAAAGTCAATTAAAGCCACTGAATTAAGTTATTGCAACAGACTGTACGCAGTTTGAGACTGTGTATTAATTAGTGCTAGCCCAGTCAACTCCAGCTCCTTGAGCGCCAGCATAACTGCCTCGTCTGAGAGCTGCGCGACCTGCTGCACATCCACAATACGCGCTTGTTTGGCCTTCTCCATCTCATGGTGTTGCGAGTAGGCGGCAAGTAAGTACAAAACACGTACACTGTCTGGTATACTTGTTTGGTAAAAGTTATTAGCGGAAAGTGTCCATACAACACTATGAGCACATTCTCTCCAGTAGTTTGACTTTGGGGCAATGAGGGTCGCCAATGAGGCATCTTGATAGGTGGCGACCTGTAGAAACTCCTGCATTGATGCCTCGGGAGATAATATCGAATGCAACAGGCAGTTCATCAACGTGCCCGTTAGTGAAATTCTTAAATTAGAAAGCTGCTCTACAGCAACAGAGGGAACGCCCTTACTAGGCCAGGAGAACGGCAAGTAATGCTTGAGGGCGTAACGAGCTTTTTGTTTGGTGTCGACAAGTGGTATTGTATCCTGGGTCATCTTTCTTGCAGCACCAATCAACTGAGAACACGCTCTTTGCTCACGATCGTAAATAGCCTCGAGGGCCTCGATGACAGGCTGACAGCGCAGAACGTGCATCTCAGTGAAACTGGGGTCAATGAGCTCGTCATAGAGCAGCATGAAGGTAACGGCTGCATCTAGTCGGTAGCCGTGGCTTAGGGCGTCAGACGCGCTGAGGAGTCCATCCAGGATATCTGTTGTATCCCTTAAGATATCAACATAGGCAGTTCGACGCCGTTCGGGAACTTCATCTTGAGATTCTGCTGTAGATACTGAAAGACACGCTGGATCGGCATCGTTATCTTCACAGCCGTACGAAATAAGGTCTTCGGATGTTGCAGCAAACCAGTGACTTGAAATGGCAAAAGGCATTAAGATGCTGTGGAAGCTAAGCACAACGTCCTGAAGTGAGTGACGCACAGCCCATACCCTCTGCCACTGCCGCAGCACGGGGCTTGAGACAAGCATCGGAAAGCGTCGAAGGGCTTCGCATAAGAAGCAGCATAGCGGTAGGTTATGTGGGCGAAGAAAAAAATAACGTTTCTCCTGAAGAAGCGGCCCTTCAAGGCTCTCCATACGAAAGGACGTCCCGTCGCTACCGGAGTTCATTGTGAAAGTCGTTTCCGTGCTCTCAGCACAAGGCAGACGATGGAGCAAGGACGGTTCCCACAAAGACACTAAACGGTGAATACGCATTAGCGTCGAGGAGGGTGTGCTGAGTTTGCGAAACGACGCAAAACCATTCTGGCCCCCATTCTCGTCAACATCGTAGTCGCCGTTCTGTGTGAAAAGCTTAACGTGGTACTGATGACCAACTTTTTCCTCCAAGCGCTGCTCCAAAAGGGTTCCACCGTATAGCTGATCCTCTGGTAACAGGAGAAGGGCAAGATGGATTCTCCAGTGCCGTCGTCTCAGTCGTATGTTATGAAACGTCCCCAACGCTGCGAAATCATGAAGAAAAAGTTGAAGCTGATCGCTACCGTATCGGTGCCGCCGTGCAGCCTCGATATTTTCGCTCCCGTTTGCCTTCCGACGAGCTCGATACTGGTTTCTGCCGCTCTTTGTGGTAGAAAACGTCGCGCGATTATCCGTGCAGCACCGTATGATGACAAGGAGGCGCCGTACAGTGAATCTCTCTGCCGACACTGCGCGTCGGCTTCCAAAATCATCTCCATGCTCAGCATCCTCTCTCATACGTTTGGCTTTGAAATTCGAAAACGTGGTCTGGGTCGTGGATTTACTAGCTGCCAACTCTATCTCTCTTCCATTGGATTCATCCTCAATCACTTTGCACCATTCGCGGATGGCATCCACACACGTAAAACGAGCTGCTTGAATGCTTCGTAAGGACTCACTTGCACCTTCTGTTTGGGTTCCACCATCTTCGAGTATACCTGACGATCCAGTCAACGCGGCACCGTTGGAAGAGGTAAAATTAACCGAAAAAACCTTATCGAATCCGCGGCTGCTGAAAAAGGTATGCAGCGCCGCGCCACCATCACCTGAATGACCCCAGACAACACTGTCAGTAGCTATCCCAAGTGGAATAAAGTCATGCCACGCTGATAAGCCGTCTGGTATCTTTATCTGTTGCAGAGATTGGGATGAAGCAAACGAATGGACCTCCGGATTTGCCTTTAGGCCAGCACCGGTGGAAACACTCGTACCCTTCTCAGGGTCTCCGATTGCCTTCGTGGAAGAATCGAGAAGCACTGTTTGTTCATGCTGACCAAGCAAAAATCGTACGACATCATCTATCTCTGTGGGCATTAACCGTGACGAGACACTTTTGACAACCTCATTGAGGTAAACAAGAACTTCAGCCATTCCCCCAGTAGTGGCGCTTCCTCACTCAGGAAGAGAGTAGTAATAGTTGCACCTTCCTGTTATTGTTATTCTTTCACGGAAATGCCGATCAAATGAGTGTCTCTAATAGTTTAATCGATGCGTAAATGAATGTTCTGAGACGCTTGGATATTCACTGAGGTGAATTTCATAAAAAGGTAAAACATCAAGAGCACTACAACTTTAAGAAGGGGTATAGTGAGAAACAACTCACTAAGCTACACCTAAATTTACTAAACTATCCAACAAAAGGCAAAAAAAAACAAAACAAATAGAATGAGAATTTTATAACCATAACAAAAGTATTTAAAAAAAAAAATAATAATAATGTACTTTTGAGTTAAGAATGATATCAGCTATACATCAATATCATCGTTGTTGTTTTTGGCTTACCCGGTGCGGTTCAGGCGCACCCACTTGTATCGTGCATATGCACTCTCGCACCCTTTCCCAACGACACACCCATTGCTAAGGCGTTGGTTTTGCGAGCTGACGTCACTCGGTTCGCTGCAGCCTTATAATGTCGATGGGGTACAATACTTGGAACAATACAAAAGGTTGGCCGTGTGTTGACCTCCCTGGTGGGCGCACATGCGGTGAACCAGCGCCTTGCACCCCGCACAGCGTAGCAGCGGGGGTTCCTCATCTGAATGATTTCCCTCCTGATCACTGTTCTCATTCTTAGCGTTGAGTTGGTCCCTCACTGATAGGCTGCCACCCAACTCGCACATCACACAATAGTGTGCCTCCTCGGCACCAGTGACACACGCAGCCCTTAGACCGAGAAAAGGCACGCAAACCTCTCGAACAGCACTAAAGACGTCGATTGAATCCCCCGCCTCACTTGAACCAGACGCTAAACGGCAAGCCTCTGAACTTTCGGCCGCCGCTTGCCCATTTCCATCCTCATGGGGGGGATAAACGGTGTTATCTCGCGCTCTTGTGCCCTGGCCGACACCATCTTCCACAACTTCGACAAGGCGGCATAGACGTTGGCGCAAGGTTCTCTCCCGCGCCTCCTGTGCGCTGAGATAAGCCTGATTCAACTGCTCCCACTCCATGTCACAGGAACTGTCGTCTGTGGCGAATAAACTCTTTTCAAGAGCATCACCGGATGCATCCTGCTGCGGTAACGGTAATGGGCGGAGCGATGGGCTAAAATTGGGCTCAGATACGATCTCTTGCCTGTCTAAATCGCCTACTTGATCGAAGCGACCCTTGACATCCGCCTCAGGGTCAGGACCCTCACTAGATACAAAGCGCAGCTTACCCGACTGTGTCTCCTTGCTTTTTTCCACAGATCGCTGCTGCAGGGCGTCATGCGTACTCGAAAGAGGTGGAATATCATCCATATAGGGTAACTCTTTATCGTCGTCTTCACAACAACCAATTCTATCGTTATGTGGAGCAGCACAGGGTAGTTGTTGCAACAACCACTGAAGGCTTTCAAGCAGGGGCTGGCTACGTGCAGCATTCATGGTGTTATTAGCTGCACGATGCCGTGCAAATTCCAAGAGCCACTCGGCGCCTTGTTGCCCCACACATTGCTGTAATCCTTTGTATGTCTGAAACGCTGTCGAAGGGCCAACCTCTTCGGAGGATCGCAGGAAGTCAGCAAAGTTTGCCTCCTCGGCCTGAATTTCATCCAACACATCCTTGGAAAAAGAGGGCCAGAGAGAAGATGGGAGAAGAACAATCCGCCGGAGCTGTGGGTGATGGAGACGCAACATGTTCCGCGCACCCACTGACGCTTGACGCCATGTCTTACTCGTCTGACACAGCTCTTCACACAAGAGCGCACGAGTGAAGTTTTCCTGATGCAGAAGTCGTTCATACTTTCTGGCTGCAGCGCATGCGACGCGCACCAACGCACTATGTGATATCCGTGAAGGTGAGGCATGCCTATTCGCGCTCTGGAACATGTAAAAGGCGCAACTAGTCTCTCCCCTCTGTTCTTTACATTCTTCACTATGAAGAAAGACCAATATCGCCAAGAGGCGCTTAGCACATATTGCACGATAGGTTCGCACGAGCCACCGCCGTAAGTGCTCCCTTTGATTGAAATGAGCTAATGATAGAAAATCGGACATATGATATCGATCTTACTTTGAATATCCTTCGTGAGTTTGGTCGCTTGTTGTTTTTCAATATGGGGAGAAAACATAAGGGATCAGGAAAATAGGAACTCCATTCGTTGGGACTGACATCATAACTAACTACGAATAATCACTGTCGTCATGTACTGAAAAAATAAACTTGCGTGCTCGCAGGGAAAAAAGCCCAGAAACATTCCATCTGATTGAGGCTTTATTCCGAAAAGTATTGTTGATTTCGATATGAAGGGTTGCTTTGACCTTGAATACGCGCTTAACGATAAACTCCGATAACATTATAGCTGATTATGGAATGCTTTCAAAAAGGAAGGATAAAACTGGACGGTTCACTGAGGATGTGATGTAGCTAGCACGAATGAAATTTAACTCTAAATGTTGCGGTTTAGGATACTTCATTCACTTTAGTCATCTTAATGCATCCATGGCCTATTTTGGGAGTAAAAACTTAGCAAAGGGTACATCAGGAATCGAATCATTGATATTTCCTCTATGTGCATCATAAATCAGCAAGCTTCCCTTAGACAACGCCGCGCGGCGTGCAGTATAGATCACATCCCGTGAATACGACACTAACGGACACGATATCTGTGCGCGCCCTACGAACTGCTCCACCATCGTCTCCGTGCGCTTAATACTACTCTGTACATACAATAGCAACTTCAACGAAATGCCCACATAGTCCAGCGGGCCACTCACCACCTTGGATGAGCCCTGTGCACCTCCATCCTGATCAATCATGCTGTTACCACTGGCAGACGCTCGAGACGTCTCCGAAACTTTTGCAGGCCAGACCCTAATTCGAGGGCCAATCCCGTCTACAAATGCTGAGGATGGGCCCCTGTCTTGCAAAGTAGGTATGATATCAGCGAATTCGGCCGTCTTTGTGTCACATGGCCTGAGGAATCCCTCAGGATTTATACACGCCTCGCTGTCCACAGGAGTCTCCTTCGCCCTGGATTTGTGGTCGAGTCCTGTGCCAAGGGCGAGGAGGTTGTACAGGCGCGCCCACTGTGGTGGCACCGGCAGGAACACCTCGACGCTGGGCTGGCACAAGGGAGCCTGGGTGTCCCCTCCACGGCGTTCCATAAGCACCATCAGATCGCTCTGACCCAAGGCCCCCGAGCGGGCCCGCGTATACATGTTGTGAGCACGAAAAAAACAACGCCTCGCCTTCACCTCCCACGTGCGTCGCCATCGCACATAAGACCACAGGCCGGCGTCGTCACTGAAGACCCCTACTGAAGTTGAAGAAGTGTTGAGGGTGTCGGCAACTTGAAAGATGTGGTGAACCTTAATGGAAATCGGGAGCGTTCCTTTCGCCTTGCTGTTAGATGTGCCTCCACTGACTGCTGGGTGAGGAGAAAACGACAATGGGGCGCTCTTTTTATCACTTGTTTGACTTTCAGTGCATTTAAGGTAATGACTGAACTGCTCTTGACTCAAAATGCTAATAGAGCGGAAGACTTGATATACAAGGACGGCGCAATGCGGGTTTGTAGTGCAAGACTCAGTGATATTACCCATGATCAAAGTTGGATGTGAGCGAAACTCGCCCTGACAGTATACAAGGCCCAGTCGTGGCATGCTGTCCCATAGTGCCAACGCCGTAGAACGTGCCAGTCTTGGAATTAAGGTACTATATCTTCCACCGATATAAAGAAGATTTCTCTCCAAATTCTCTAGCATTTCGGAAACATTGATATACCACACATTTGTAGCTAACATCACGGGATTACTCCTCGACCTCTCTAAGTCCAGCCGTAATGCAGATGTAGGACTTCTTTCAAGCTGTGGAGGTTCCTTTTCTGACGAACAACGCTGCTTCTGCTGCGAGATAGTTGATGGTTCAATTTTTGATGAGGAATTGACAGCATTAACGGCCCTTTTCAACCCAGATGATCGTGATGTCTTAAAGCTGCTCATGGGAAGGAGAAAGGTATCCCCTGACTGCACCCTCTTCGGTGTTACGACATCAGCATGCACGGTTCCTATTGATGAGGACTGCTGCGGGCGATCGCACGCCTTCCTATTCGAATTCATCACAGAACACGTAGATCCACACTGCTTGTGATCAGCATCATCAATTTCAGTCAAAATTGAGGGAGAATTAATGCTTTCTAGCACAAGTGGTGTTGTTTTTCTAGCTTCATTGTATCTCAAGTCAAGAGAGATGCTCTCCGCGTGTTTACGCGAGCCATCATGTGAACTATTAGTGATATTTTTTTCAAGCACTGAAATGCATTGTTGAAGGCTAATTTGGTCTTTCTCAGACAAGCAATTCGAGCTGAGGTCGATACAACGAATTTTATGACAGAAGGATGTGCTGGGGAATGCATTCGGTACGGACTCCAACTTGTTCCCGCGAGCCCGAAGGACCCGTAGTTGTTTGAACATACATAAACAATCCGGAAGACTGCACAAATGATTGTAGTTGATTCTTAAAACCAGCAGCGCATAGGGGGGATTCTGTCTCAGAGCGTGTACATCATCTGGGGAGACCAGCTGCTCGATGCAGTTCTCGCTCACATCCAGCATGTCCAGCTTTGCGAGGCACGGTGCGCGCCATAGACTGGAGAGCGTGGTAATCACATTACGCGCTGCTCGTAGAGAGCGCAACGATGGGAGTGCTTCAATTCCATCGAGGTTAGAAATTAAATTATTGTTGAGATCCAGTGATGAAATATTTCGAAACACGGCTATCGGACAACTCCTAGGAACAGAGCTGAGGTCCTGCTTGTGTTCCTTTACGCCCACTAAGTCGCATTTACTGCGGTCATTGACGTCAGTGATTTGCGGTACGTCTGAGACCAGTGTTTGGAGGCTATTTTCAGACAGATTGAGTACCGATATCCTGCCAGCGATGCCCTCCCCGGTGCAATGGAGGGACCCGACGTCAGCCATATGCAGGCAAGGAAGACTCGCCAACTCCTGATACCTAAGATCTAACACATTTGAACAGAGGCCGTCGCTACCGAGGGGGAGCCGATGGCACTTCACCCCCCCCTCCATAGCCTTTGCAAGTGGAGACGGTAGTTTCGCCTTTGTCAGGTTCTTTCCTGATACTTTTGTAGCTGTACCGTAGGGTGCAAGGGTATTCGAGGCGGCTTTATCTGACAGATCTGACGACGAAGGATGCGGATGCAAGTGCATCGAGGACGAAAACACCATGGAGTCCGAACCATGTTGGCCTGTAGGGGTAGAATGGAACCCATCCAAGCGACGGCGGCATCGTAGATGATGAAGAGATTTACGTGACGTTTTTGGCCCCCCCTCGCCAGCTCGGAGTTTGCGAGCTGTAGATTTGGTGGCGAGATAGTTAGCAGACATCATTGGACCAGAGATTGCTGGATCACTAAAGAAAAGCTCCCTCAAGTCATCTGTAATATCCAAGCTCTGAAACTTAAGCACTTTCGATTTGGTTATATCCCCTTTGTTGAAGTTGCACCCAGCGCAATGTTGAGGTGCGCAAGCTTCGTAAGAGCGTTCATCGATGCTACACTGATGTTTCGTAGTGCCTCCAGAACCATCGTTTTGCTTACTTGGTGAACAATAGTTTGGATCGTGGGGATGTGTTTCAGCATTAGTCATTGTCGGCGCGCACAGACAGATTTCTCCACCTCAAGAGCCTAGAGGAGAGAGAGAGAGAGGGATTGCTATCTGGGAAAAAACGGTAATTCTTATTAAGTTAATG